ATCTCATTTCAGGCACTTAATATTAAAATCTCGGAGTTTCTATTTTTTTAGCGATTCTTAAAGATCTCTCTGGCTACATCCCATCTACATAACTCTCACCATACACTTTTAAACCCCAGAGGAGATTGCTGGTATTTTAAAGAACTAACCGTTCAATCACTATCAGACATTTAGTATTTCCTTCAGATAGTCTTTCTAAGCAGTTCTCCAGCTCTGAAAAGTTCTTTGTCTCAAAGTTTTCTACGGGCCTTGATCCTTAAGCAACTTTCATTGAAAAGTTTGACTTCTAGATACGCTTGAGAAACACTTGAGGAACCCCTACTCGAAGTACTCTTAGCTCTTGGTTCGCTAAATAGTCTTCACAGAATAGTTTTCGGGTTACGTACAGAAATGCGGGCTTCGGAGCCCCGTGAAATCCCACTGATAGAGCCCTTGCTCACATAATTTCTCAGATGTGCATATTTAAGTTGCAAAACATCGAAAGCTATAGTTCCCACGAGAAAATTCATGTTACGGCAAGTGTTTTTCATATCTCATCCCTCCCACATTATTCACATGCATAAGCTTGTTGTTGAGAATTGATCGCGAAGCTGATTTATCGAGTTTTGAAGACTCTGCAGATTTCGGACTGATTGCTCTGCTGGAGTTAGTTCTTTTTTTCCAGTTCAGAGTACAATTTTGCCTTATGTTCTAAAACGGGTGCTCAATCAAGTATTCGTTGGTTTTGTCTCTTGTGGGTTCAGAATTGTTGTTATGACTGTCAGTGCGCTTGATCATCATCGAACTAATTGCTATGCGCCACGCATCCAACTTCTATCCAGAACATTAATGGTACTCACTACCGTACTTGGTCAAAAGGATTTGAGTGTTTATACGATGAGGAGACTCGTGCTTTATTGGTCCACATTAGTCTCATATACCAAACGACATTAGAGCTGTGAAACTCCGGTCAACAGGGATAGCGTTCAGAAGCAGGATCTTCATCATAATTGTGATCATTTTCAGCCTCGACCTCTAGTTGAAATATGGGTACTCAAGCATTTTACAGGAGAATTTTGAAATCAGCTAGAGACAATTAGAGAATAAGGTCGCCAAAACGCTTTGCCCGTGATTAGCATGAACGTTCCTGTTTTACCCGAATTTGTGGTATGTTCATGAACGTCAACGTGAAGAAATGGTACGATTAGAGTTCTTCAACAGCCGCACTAATACCTGCTTGGATTTTGCGCAGTAGATTATTTCAAGCCGATATCCTTTTAATAGGAATATGGTCATCTATCTGGCATACATTATGGGTGCTGAGCAATGCCTGAAAAAGGCGGTGTCTGATGTCGGCTATTTCCGGTCACAGCGATTTTCTGTACTTCCAATCCAATTTCTGTGCTAATAACGTTAACTTTCAATTTTTCGTTCTGCCTCAGGAGCATTATTTTTTGACAGGGAGTAAATTAGTGGGAACTAGCACATTGCTGTTACCTGCAATTACAACCAACCTAACGCCTTCTCACGCATTTCACCTTAATGAGTCGTTAATGAGATGGCTGATTGTATGCTGCAAAGTTACTTATTAATTTCCCGTGGGTGTTAATGGTAGTACAGTGAGCAAATGAGTCACGTGGCGTGTCTGCTAGCAAAACTTTGCAACAAAAACTGGCCATTCCTTCACTGGAAAACGTCGAAATTAATTACATTTGCCTTTGTTGTTTGCCATTATGGGAGGAGCAGAGAGGCCACGCCTGTTTTAGAACCTGGAAAACAATTGCAAATTCAATTCTGCCTCGAGATTCTCGGTAAGGTGTCCAGAGCCACGTCAACCCGTAGTGTAATTGTATTGGAGTTCACGTAAAGCGAATTACGCGGTTGCAAAATGTGCCTTATTGGGTTTAATACGAAAACACAAAGGCTATGTGGTTCAGAAAGGAAAAAAGCAACACCCAACTGAAACCTCACCTTTGCACACTTTAAGCGCTGTATGAGCTTACGACCTGGCCGACGGGACAAAGGAGCCTGGTCGAGAAAGCGAGAGAGCACAAAAACTAGTGAGACGCGATACCAACCAGGACATCAGTTCAAAGGCGGAGTCAAGTGTGAGGGGCGGAGTTACAGAAGCAACGTTGGCACCCTTACCATTTAACTTCGTCCATCAAAATGAATGGAACTGTTGTGTTTGCTAACCCGTCTACCTTTCTCTCGCGATAATTCCATTCTTTAAAGCATTCGTAGAATAGATCTTCAGGTACAAGATCCTTCTCGCTATGTTGCAGTGAGACGGGACCCGTAACACTAGAGCGTCAACACAATGACGGCCTCCGGCCACAAACTAATTAATCTTCCGTTACATGCAAAGTAAAAGATGCTTCAAAATGAGGATACAGGATCATTAATCTTCTTTACTTTCTCCGCAGACGATTTGGAGCAGATCACCACATTATCTTTTTTTCTTCGCTTCTTCGGAATCCACACGATACATCGATTGTTTCATTGTTTGTTTCTCACTTCTTCAAGATGGAAGAAACTGGCTTGATAACCCTTTTCTGTTCGCTCCATTGCCAGTAACCGTCCAAAGAATTCCGATTTCCGATGCGCGAATCTGTGAACTGGTCATGCTGTCCACGGTAGCATCGACGTGAGATGTTGCAAAGAGCGATCACCACATTATCTTTTTTTCTTCGCTTCTTCGGAATCCACACGATACATCGATTGTTTCAATTTCTCACTTCTTCAAAGATGGAAGAAACTGGCTTGATAACCCTTTTTTGTTCGTTCCATTACCATTGCCAGGAACCGTCCGAAGAATTCCGATTTCCGATGCGCGAATCTGTGAAGTGGTCATGCTGTCCACGGTGAGATGCTGCAAACGAAATGCGAACACGCCCTTGGCTCTAATTGCAAATTGACAAAGAAAATGTAAAAGTGTAATTGATTACCGTTCATCACTGTGTCATTTCTTTACATTTCGTGAATTGAAAGTGCACAATCTTCTATGGTTGGTTCATGGTTGTTTCGGAAACATCAAAGATCCACCCCAAGCATGGCACGAACGCGTTCTTGGCACCTTTTCCAAGTGAGAACACGCGCTCTGTGAATGGATTTGGCCGATCCTTATTGTATTACCGTACCACAATGCCAAAGAAGGAAGTTGTAAAAGAAATCCTATCATCTTGTTGCGTCTTGTGATTATCCATGGAAGCATCCATGCATATCCATGATCATGTACTTTTTTGGTGCAACATTATGTCACAATGTGTAGAAATTTCTATGCAATGTACTTCTTACAACTGGCATTACTAATTCCTCTATTGTTAGAGTGCGAGTACCGCACCCCCTCTATTCAGATAATTACTACTGGAGCGAACACCCTTCCTCCAGCTTGTTGGAGACTGACTATAGATCACTCCACAATCGGTTCCAAATCGTCAACTCCTCCTCATTTGTTTCGAACTTGAGCGCCAGACAGCGGCTCTATTTAGCCTTCCAGACTGTTGAAAAAAGTTTATGCCTTGAAGGCGGAACTTCCATGGAAAGGGAGCCCATTAAAAGTCAAGGAGGAGGTCGTGGATGCTGCAGTGATAAAGAGAAATCATGAGAAAAGGCGCAAAATCCGAGAAAAAGAAACACTTTTTGCTGTTGATTTCCCTGATAATGCGACTCTCAATGATACTGCTCTCTTCAACTTTAACCCTCTCTCTCTTAAAAAGCTAGAGTCCGACGGTGAGGGGTTACCTATCGGCAGGCGTACACAGGTGCGAACGACCCGTTTACGGCCCTGCTAGAAGTGTGAGCATACTCGCCGCTGCACAACGCGTAGTCCCGCACCATTGGAAGCCTGCCAGCTTCCCGACCAGGTATATTTCCCTTTATCGACCTACGTCCTTATCGTGGAGTCCTTCCAACAGTGGGTCAGCAAATGTGAAGGGCTGTCCGTGCAACTTGTGCGAGCTTCTGAAAAGGTTCCATCAAAATTATTGGGCAAATAAAGCGCTTACTGTCAAAAGAAAATTAAAAATCAACAACAATGCTGGGTTTTTCAAGGTAATAGAATCCTTCGAAAAGCAATTACGTTCATTCGTACCTTTTCCACATCACGTCCCCAAATTTAATTGCCAACTCAGGAAAAAGCGGCCATTTTTGCAACTGATCCAATGTGGAATTTTACTCATCTATCGGGTACGATTCCCTGGTGGAGCCACAATTGCACGCACAACCCACACTACCCTTGTAAACATTAGCAGGAGAGAGTTTCGCACCGCCTTCATGTTCCATACTTCTTCTTCAGGCGAGACTTTCGGTCAAACTTAAGATTTACGGGAAATCGGGGCGTTCAACTTGGGATGAAAAAGGTGTTTAGAAAGAAGAATGGGCTCTGCGAACTTTTTATTGACATCGGAAGGAACCTTATTGTTGAAGGAATTACCAGGAACCACATTTCGTACGAAATTGAAATGCATGCGACAGCTAAACATCACTATTTCGCCGTTGTCTTCACGCAGAGAGCTTATTTTCTCAGATTTAGGAGACATGTGACCTTTCCTGATCCTAAAAGTCAACTCCTTGGCTATACACATCCATCCAAGCGGCGCGAGGACAAAGGAGAATGATTCATGAAGAAACCCCGCTCATACTCAAACAAATTTGACTGCTCAGGCTATCACATTACGAATCTAATATGCCACACTAAATCCGAGTGGTATCCCGTGGGATGAAGGCGTGACAAACTGCTTACCCCAGCGAGACATCTTGGGGGTGTGCGCCGTGTTACTCGGCCATTTCTGAATGCGTTCGCTCATTGCCGCTCCATCCACAGAAGACGTGAACGTGTTTGATGACGCTTTCTTCTTCACTCACATCTTCGGCAACCTCTTCCTGGACTGAAGGCAAACATATCCGGCGCTACTTTAAGCGAAGTGCCTCCGAGTCGGCCTAGTACGCACATGCTCGACTGGCAATCTGTCCTCCTTCTCTAACCTCGAGTCGTGTGCCACTTTTGCGTGCTATTTTGAATGACTGATGTTTATGTAAGTTCACTGCTTGGATTTGTCCACTCCTCGAGGTTAATAGCCGTTCTTTTTCAGATTTTATCCACTTCATCTTCATTCTCGTCAGAAGGCAATGAGTGAGTGGCTTTCGAATACCTCATACCGATAAGCACTCAGCTTCTGCATTTACGGCAGGCAAAAAATACAATCGGAGCACCTGATTTGACAGCATGCTCTCGAGAGGAAGTCAAGGTTTGGACGCGAAAAACTAGGCCTGGCACTTCCGCCTGCGGCGGCGGCACCCGTCATCCCCGCTCCCTCGCATCTCCTCCGAATTCGCGTCACTACTAATATTTCGTTAAACCGCCACCTCCATACACTGCTCCCATCATTCGCCCTCCCCCCACCCCTCCTCCCTCACACCTCGTAGGACCTCAATCTATAAGACTTGGCGCTTGACTGCGCGGAACTAGTCTACAAGTGAGCATCAATAAGGGTCCACTCGAGCCGCCAGCAGCAGTCAGTCATCACCCACCTTTTGCGAATTTCGCTCCTCTCGTTAGAGTTATCCGCGGAGAATCTTGAGTGAATCGACCGGCGGGAGAAGTGCCAATGTCGTCTCTGCCACGACGTTCCCTTCGACCTCGTATTCTAGTAGCCAAACCTGTGCCTAAGCTCTCTAGACGTGTCAAACTTGAGAAGTGCCCGAAGATCTCAAGAAAACTTCAGAAGCGCAATGCAAAACTCCCACGCCGAATGAAACGCCCCGTGTCGGAATTATGTAAGTATTCGTTGATGAGGAAGCTGATATGGAGTGTGTGGAAGTGATGTAATTTAAGCAGATTTGAATAATTCCATTTTGCAGCTATCACACACCGCCGCCAGTCGCCAATCGACATCAAGAGCGACGTTGTTTGTCACGATCCCGTGCATTGCAAGGTAGTCATTGAATTAATTATTTTATTAACGAGCTTTCTAGTTGTGTTGCTCACCTGGTATTCACTTCGTCATCCTGTAATAACAGCATATGGGTGTGATTTTCACATCTCGAAGCCAATTTCGCACATCCATTGGCTGTGTACGCTACGCGAGGTGATCTTTGATCAACAATGGCGAATGCGGAAGTGAACAGCCGGAGGGTACCCATTGATCGCTTTGCTTGAATAATTCCCTTGGCAAATGCTAATGTAAACATAAATCCATTATAACAACGTTGCAACACAACATATGCTCGAGCTTTTCGTAAGAGAAAACACTACGTTACTGAAAGTTAAGTTTGTTGATGATTTCAGCCCGACTCTCTGAATATCCACTACACCATTGGCGACTGCCATGATGTCGAATGTAGCGATCACGGCTTCAAAGTGAACGTCTCAAAAAAGTGCTCCACAAGTTGGTCATTTAAATTTATTGAAAATTTCTAACTTTCCGGAACCCGGATCAGGACTTTCGCGCACAAAGATTAAGCGAAGACACCTCATTAGGTCCTATGAATCCCTACTCTCCATAAGACCACAGCGACTACGCGGAAATCCGGAGTTGACCGCTTTCCTGAGTTCTGGGTACCTGTCAACGTGATAAGCTTGAAATTGGTTCGCCACAGAAGTCGCCGCTTTTTCATTTCCGATTTCCGGCGTTTAATTCCTTTCCTAATGTGCAGCACTTTTTTCTCGGGCCTTGTGGACAACGTGCTGCAGAAAATCGAACCATTTCCGCTTATGTCTACTTGGAATTGCATAACATTCTCCCATGAGTTTTTTAAATATCCCATTCAGTTACCAAAGCTCCACCTGATTTCGAATAAAGTCCTCAATGAATTCTCCTAAGTGTATCCGTTGACCGTAAGTCTACACCGAGAAACATCAAAAATCAATTATTCATTAACTTCCGGATATTTCCTTGAACATAGTTGATTCCACATAATGTTTTAACAAAATTGAGGCGAACAGAAAAGTCAGTCTGCAAAGTCCGTTTCAGTTCGATGAATCCAAGGGAAATCAAGCAGCGAGAAAAGCCGTCAATTAAGAATCAAAATTCACCTTGACAAATTATTCAACTCGGTCAATATGAATTTTTTGCAGCGCTTTCGGCTAGCCATCTTCCTGGAACATACCAACTGGCTCAGTTTCCATGCTCACTGGAGCAAGGATGGCTCATGTGGGTCGGAACACCTACTCAATGGAAAAGCGATGAGCGGCGAGGTACGTGACCAGAGAACATAGTACTTACACACGCTACAAAGTCACCCACCGTATAGGGCTAGAAACTTGTGTCAGCGAAGGGCTTCTTGACGATGTTCCTGTTCACAGCATAGATCGTGTGAGTGTGAGGTCCCATATTTCTCTTCGTATTGAGCCTGTCCCTTCGAACCCTGTGAATTATGAACGAGTAAGGCTTTTGTTTCCTCACTGACATATATAGATCGCTTTTGGGGTGAGTAGGAAATATAATTTTGGTGAATAACTCTTGAACTCTAGTCAGAAGTTGTCGAATGAAAGCCACTGAACGAGTTTGAAAGTGAACCCAGAGAGATGCAACCGGGGCGTGAGAGACAGAAGTCTTTGAAAGTTCTTTCAGAAATTAACCGTTTCGCGAAATGCATGAATCTTAACATGGGGTTCTTCTTCCCCACTAACCAACATTGACTTCGTATTGTCACCGCATCATTCTGGTCGTGTAATCTTTAATTTAGGTCCATTTTGTGTTCTGGAACACCAAGTACGAGTCATTCTGTGCTGCTGCCGAGAAGGATGATGGTCTGGCTGTGCTTGCCGTGTTCATCAAGGTAATGGCCGCCGTTTTATCTGCTCACTAACGCAGAGATCACTTTTCGCTGACGGGAGGAAGAAGAATTGAGCGAGAGCTCGTTGTTGGTTTGTCACGATGGAAGCCACCATCGCAACAGGTGGCCGATTGGTCGGTCGGTAGCCAAAGAGGGACGCGAGGTGGTCGATATGCCATGTTCGAAGATGAAAGACTACCCCAGTTTAAGCTCATCAGTCACGTCCCGCGTGCTCCGTTTACGATTTCGAATTCGGGCTAAGCCATCAAGTACACTACTATGCACTTTGTGGTTACCGACGTCTATGAAATGCGAAACTATGGACATAAACGGTGCACAGCATCAAATTTCATCTTCACTGTGCCTGAGAATGGATAAGGGCTTTAAAAGACAAAATTACGTACCCGTCACTTACAACCCTTTATAAAAAATTCAACCAGAATCTGGAGATTTCACTTTGAAAAGTAGTGGGGAAAGAAGATTTCCAGTAAGGCTTTGCAACATTCACACTACATACTAGACGATTTAACCTTTTTCATTACAGGAAGGGCACCACTCGAAGAACTATGCGCCGCTTTTCGAGGTGATCCGCAAAGCGATTGACGCCAAACATTCGATGCACATGCCAAGGGACTTTGTCCTCGAACAGCTTCTTCCGCCTCCTGGTGAATATTTCAAATCGAGCAATTTACACAGCAGGATTTCTAATTGATCTCCAGACACCTCAGACATTCGTCGAAAAATCCAGAGTAACACCTAGAACTAGGAAGAGCAGTAACTGAGGCAGCAGTTCTTCATTTACTTTCATAGAATAGTGAAGTCACCACGATATACTTCCCCATTCAATACCATTATTTTAATCAGATCTCTGTGCACCCATACATGTTTCTTAACGACCATCCGTTGGGAGCCGATTATAGTGTTTTGAAACAAAATTACGGTAAAATGGGCATTCCAATTCCCCTATGCCTTTTTATGTTATATGGAGAAGTCATGGCCTGTTCGTGTCGTGTTCTCATCAAGTGATGCAAGCGAAATGCCATCGTTGAATTCTCCCTGGTGAATTCGATGTGCCTTGTCCATCTGACAGTCCATCCACATTCCCAATTAATGCATTCGCCCATAAAATTCGAAAATTAGCTAAGTGCAAGCGAATTGGTCAACCCTGCGTTGCGCAGTTCGCAACGGCACGTTGAGAGATCCTCAACGCACGCTGTATGGGCGGAGACACAGACGGCTCGAGCATGCGAGTGTGAATGTTCGCGCGAGAGAACGTGTCTAATCGGGCGAAACTGCGCAACGTGGCCGTTGAGAACTGCGCAACGCAGGGTTGACTCTGCTCCCCAGCAACATAATTTTGTCGTAATAACTTCGTATAATGTATGCTATACGCATTGATGCGACTCTCATCGCTGTGCCCTCTTCAACACTACGCTCTCTCTGCTATCTAATCACTCGCCACGTATAGACCTGCGGCGAGTGATTAGATAGTCGGTGGGCGTACCCCGCCCACCGCGCCAAGAGTGAGCCATGCTAGATCGCCGAGGTCAAATCTTTCGCTGCCAATTGCGCGTCGGTCAGCACCCTCAGGAGGTCCGCCTGTCTCCCAACTATGCAATTTCCCCTTCTTCGACCTTCGTTCTTATCGTGAATTCCTCCTTTAAGTATGCTTCTGGAACAGGCATGAACCTTTGAGGATTATCTGGATCACTGGGGTCATTCGCTGCTATTCGCGTGCCGCTTAGAGTAATCCCAATTACCAGAGAGAGGAAGCTTGGAACTGCGTGCCACTTTGCTTTTATTTTCACCCACTACCCTGAACCTTTAGTTCTGTAGCTTAGCTTCGAACGTTGGTGGCTTGGACTATTAAGAACACGCCCTTATTCAAAAATACCCCTCGTTTTCAACCTGCTAGGTAACAAATAACACTCCACGACTCCGAAAATTCGAATTTTCTACTCAAGCAAAGGCAAGCTTTTCCAGGTAAGCGCGACTATGTCACTTATCTTGGATCTCTAACCACTCCTCCCTATTCGGAGACAGTCATCTGGACCGTGCTCACCACACCGGTGGAGGTGTCGAAGGAACAGGTGATTCCAAACTCAGACATTCTCGTCATTGATCGGTATTGATTTTTTTTATTTTAGCTGAACATCCTTCGCAAGATCGTCTCTGCTAACTACCGCGAATGCCAGAAGCTATGTGACAGAACGATAAAGGCATCGACTGTGAAAGTCTAAATCATTGGCCTAATTTATATTGGGCTCTACTCAACGAAAGCAATTCCGAATGTGTAGTTCGTAGTAGTACTACTGAAAATCGATTGCTTTAATGTGACGAATTCCGTGCCAAATACTACATTGTCACCAGATATCTATTCATCTCGCTCCTGAATTCAACGGTTAAAATGTGTAAATAGATAAGTGACCTAAGAAACCTTAACAGTAGTTCTACAAGTAAAGCATACAGGTCAAAACCGCGGTTGTAGTTTTTCATGTAGAACAAGTATTTTGTAATAATCGCTTTTCTTCTCTGCAATAAAGAGTTCACCAACAGTAACACCTTCATGAGATGTATTGCTAATCTATATGAGTGAATCGCCAGGAGCAGTTTTACCTTCATTAGCTGCTCAGATACTCAGTAGGTTAGGCAACTAAAGGAACCATACGCGAGAAATTGACCTCTTCTCTTCTCTCTTCACGGATTCCGGGTGATCACAGACAATGTGAAGATGGTACTCTGGAGAGAACCTTCGAAAAGCTTCACGTCTCGTGGGTGGAGCCAAAAGGGTTGGTGTGACAAAAGGCTCGAGGTCTATCATGAACCTCTTAGGTATTTATGATGGGTACACACAACTTTTTACGCGCACTAACGTTTACAACCGTAGCGCTCTCAAACCACGCCTATTAGGAAACGATACGCCAGGGAACAATTGGCAGGTTGCCTGTCCCTAACATTCGTCACAATACAACGGGAATTCAAACGCTCACAATCTGTCTGTTGGCTTCGGACTTTTTTTTAACAGAACGAAACGTCTTTCCTATTTTCTATAATCCCCGTAAGCCGGGGATCATATGGGGATCGACTTTGGTGAAAGTCGCTTATTTACATGCACGATGCCTTTGACCCTCTGCGTACCACGACGTTTTTTTCGTTGCCCCACGCCTATTTGTACTTGACCGCGGGTGCTGTAAGTGTAACCAATGTAAATATTTCAACTATATCATAGTCATCTTTATGTAAGCACTAAATATGCATTATCAATGTCTACATGTTCATGTTTGACAAATAAATGAAATAATATCTCATGATGAAGGTATTAAGCTAATCAGAAGTGGGATAGGAATTGGAAGAGTATATTACAGGCGAGCCCCAGGCTAAAATCATTGTTGAAGAG